TTTGTATTTGAATGTGACAATAACAATCATCAAGTCTGCCTTGATGTTCTTCATTGTGTTAGCTCTGATTTCAATATGAACAGCACATGATGATGATGAGTAAAATAGCTATATTAATGACTAAGGGGACTGTTTTTAAGAACATAACAATGTAAAAATTACTTTAAAAAACAGATTTTCAAGGGGAATGATCATAGAATGTAATTTAATGGAATTTGGAGATTTTACTTACAGTACACTCCTCAGAATTGATCACTTTTAGTGTATTTTGTGATAAAAAAAAAAACAATGGAGTTCACTTGATTCATGTTTAGGTTTTATTTAAGCATTCCAAAATCAAATGTTGAAACTGAGCAAGTACAAGCACCAATGCATAGTTATGGAAAGATGCCCAGTAGGTTCTTCCATTAGGAAACATCTGTGTGTTCTCCCCTTATGTTGTATTTCGCTTATTTGCTTCTAAAAAGCAAAGCCTAGTACTGGGCTCCAACAGAAAACTGGCTGCTTCGTAATATGATTACTTGGGTTCTAATTCCAGAAAACATATATGAAAAATCAAGCATGCAGGCATCACCATCCAATCAAAGGACATGGGGCATAACCTATGTGAATAATCTCATGTAGTTTTCCTGGCCAGCTTAGTTAACAGATTTGGCAAATTCTCTCTTTCTGTAAAACACTATGTTAATCAGACATTGCTAATACACCTGTGCACGCAACTAATATTTGATAGAACTTTTATGGCCCTTGTATCAGCACAGTGTACATAAATAATTGTTTCATTATAAAGAAATCTAATGTTCTACTACATGCTGATGAAGGATGATTAAACAAATATTATCAGAGTGGCCTATAATGTTTAGTGGACTGATGAAGATACAAAGGCAGAATTTCCCATGTATGCTGTCTCTGAGCATCTGTCCATGTTCTAATCGATAGCCCCACAGAAAAATCTACAGATTGGCTTTCCCTGAACTCAGATATCATGTAAGAGAGAGCACCTGTAAGAATTAAAGACAGAGTACTGATAATGATGATTAAGGTGGAATTCTACTAGGGGAAATGAAAGTATTTTTTAATATTCTCAAAATATCTATATTTGTATATGAATTAAGTGCAAAGTATTTTGTAAGTTTTTATAGAACTTTGAATACAAAATGAATGGCACATGAATGGAGACATATGTGAAACCACACATAAATGCATGAATACAAAAAAGAAATTATAAAATATATACAAAGATTATGAATATTACACTATAATTACAAACACCTCAAAATATGACATAATCATTAGAACAAGTAAGATACCATATCCAAACTGCAATGCTGAGAAAGGCTAACTGTACCACTACTATTTCCAAAAGTAATATCTTATTTTGGTCATTCTTACACACACACACACACACACACACACACACACACACACACACATACGTATATATATATATATATATATATATATATATATATATATATATATATATATATATCAGAAATATATTTATGGAGTGGTATAATTCAAGAATCTATCAATACAGTAGAAGAAATGACAGGACGTAGAAGAAATCAGAACTGTCAGCAGGAAGCTGCAAATGGCAGAACAGAATCACACTCAGCCAGCAGGAGTCAGAAAGGGAGGGTTGCATGTATGTAGTCAGGAATTTGGCCCAAGCAAAGGATACATGATTACCTCCTAGGTGGCATGGGCTGGTTGTTTTGTTTTGTTTTTGATAATTGGAATTGGAGCGCATAGTAAATTGCATTTTTTTCTTGCACACTTTCAATTTTCGCTGTTTCAGAGGCAGCACACATACATTTAGGTGGGAGGGAGAAATGAATCAGCATATCTGATGGAGATCTCCAAGGTTACCACAGGATTTGCCTCCTTTGCTGGAACTGAGATCATTGTCATTATTGTTTCTTATCCCGGGCTCAATTTGAATGCACACAGTCCTTCAATCAGAGGCAAGGAGTGAAAATAAAAGTGTCCAAGGTGGGGCTTCTTAACAGTCAGGGTCTGGCAATACTCCAGGACATAGTTGGTCCTGGGTATAACCAAAGCCTGACTCTATACTGGCTCACAAAATGCAGACTGCTCCTGACATCTACAGGAGACAGAGCCCATGCAGTTTAGCAAAGTCAGGATTGTTTGATTCCCAGAAGCACAGCTCTGAGTCCCCTGCTCCTGTAACCTGTGCAGCAAGTGGGATCCTGCTTCTGAAGCTGCAGCTTCTCTTTAAAGAAGTGACGTCCCAGTCTCAGTCTAAAAGTGTTGCATTATAACGAAGGAAGATAATCCAATTCAGGGTTTACAAACTGGCACAGAAAAAGAGAGTCCTGCTCTTTCCTATCCTAGGGAGATCCACTGTGGGAATAGGTTTTGTTACTTTTACCCAGTACCTAAAGTCACTGAAATTATCAAGCAGTAACTGTTCCAGACACTAGCCTTTCTGTCACTAGAGTCCCTGGGTAGACAATAAAGAATAGCACATGAAATTTACTTTTTATATCCTTTTCCATTTAGGGACTGAGAGGTACAACTTTCCAATGTAGGTGGGCATTGTCAATTCCTTTTGACACATTAGGAACTCTTGGACATGATTTTTTTTTCCAAGTAAGCCCATTCCTCTCTATGTCATCAGGCAAGGCATGAACTTTGTTGAAAATCAGTTGTTGATTTGTAGTGACAGTGAGGTATTACATGCTTTGCTTGAGAGTAATTAGGAACCCAGATTTCTTTCTTCTTGTATCTGGTATTTTCATAGGTTTAGTACCTTTGAACACCTTATCTTGTGTCTGAAAACTCACATTCTCAATTTCTATGAGGGATAGGAAATTTTAGATTGGAAAACATTGTCATTAAGAATTGATCCCCCAGCTCTGAATCTGTTCGAATATTACTGGTTCCTTTTCAACACAGATACAGGAGACTTTAGTTAAGCCATATGAAAAAGGCATTAATCATCATAAAATAGTTACCTAAAGCCTCTAAGTGTCTATAGAAAGAGGCCCCTGCGTATCATTGTGTTAATTCCCAATTAATACGAGATAAATTTCTCTGATGAAGATCAAGTTATAACCAGATCTATCAGTTTATCACTATGTCTTCAGAACTCACTTTATTTCAATTTGACTGCAGTAGAATGAGAGAAATAATTTTTATAGTTCTATAACAATTTTAGTCTCAGGTTTTTGGTACTTTTATGAGTGTAGGACATTTATTCACCTCATGGAATTAATCATAATCATTGCAAGTAATTGATTACTCCTATTATAAATAGGCCACTATGGCAAAAGTAGGAAAAAGTAGAAGACTACTCTACATGTGCTTTTTTTTTTAGAATGTAGCTCAAGAGCAAGACATATTTTGATCTTGTTGCAGTTATATGCAGAGCAGTTTTCATTCCTATCACATGTAGTCATTCCCAGTGAAGCTTATCATGAGGTGCCATGTGGATATCTGTTCTATGATGAATTAAATATGAAGGAAATTCAATAATACCCTGTCACCATCATATTGGGAGGTGTAATCCTGGTTTGGAAATGGTTGTGAATCACCGATGGGGGACTATGGGAGCCCCCTTGGCCAAGAAGTTAAACAAATAACTCTTTACTGACACCTGAGAGAAAACTATGATTCCCCTTCTTGGTCTAAGATGTGCAATTGTCACAAAATCTCCATGATATGTGTTGAACCATATCAATTACTTTCATACATGTATAAAAGCTTTTGTATGTGTATAAAGATGTGCATCCTTCTGACACACATTAAGAGGTATAAAGATATATATGGATGTATAAAAATACATATGCATACATGCATATGCACCTTTATAAGGTTGAGCATTTCTCACAGATGTAATGTATTTTTATATTTCCACTCTTCTTTCTTTTTCCTCCTGCATTACCATGTCTGCTCCTGGAAATTACAAAAATAAAAAAAAATACTACTTCTTAGTGAATTTATTTTTTCACTCATACACTAATATAGTCAGAACTGAATGATGCATTGTAGAGAATGTGGTGATGATAAATGAACATTTTTATCTTTGACCTTCTGGAATTGAAAGGCCTCACAATGTCATTGTTGAAAAACCTGCTTCTATATATCTTAGCATCCATCCTTTTTCCTTAGGTTTCTGCTAAGTGTGCTGAGTCCATAGAGTTTCCAATATGCACTGACATGACCATATGTGTTGTCGTGCTGCTCCCCTTGTTTGGTTGTTTCTTTACTTTGGATTATATTTTTGGTTGGTGTTCATATTTTCTAAACATTGGGCTTTGAAATGTGATATCCTTATTAGAGGACACTTTTTCCACAGGAGGTGTCCAGTTCCTTAGGATCATGAATTGTGTCTTAGCATTGAGTAACATAATTTCCTCGCACAGAAAATATGTTGAGTTAGGTGGATTTATCACGTGGCTGTAGACATGACATTGTAAGTACACAGCAGTTTGTGAAGGTATGGAATTTTGTAATAGTGCTGTAAAATGATGTGTTTCTTGTTTTGTTTTGTTTTATCTTATTGTTGTTGTTGTTGTTGTTTTGGAGAGTTCCAACTAAATTTGCTTGTGAATATAAGGATATATAGAAAACTGTTCGAAATGACATGCCTTCAGAGAAGTTGCCAAAGAAGGACTGCCTCTGGGTAGACTAATTCTTAGTCTTATGTATTATGCCAGGTTAATACATTGGGGGTTATTTTTCCTCATTTAAATGAAATATGTTTATTTTAATAAAAAAATGAACTATTCAGTCATGTCTGTGGGAAACAAGGATAAAATACCCTAGGATAATGTAAGTCCTGATAAGTTTTATATTTAAATAGGGTGGTAAGATCAAATAGGACTTGATGTTTTCTGTTGTGTTAAATGTGCGTTTGATATGAACAGCGCATCATGGTAATGATGAGTAAAATAATAACTATACTAATGGTCCAGGGGACTATTTCTAAGCACATAACAATGTAAAAATTAGTTTAAAAAAAAACCCAGATTTTCATCTGACAAGAGGCAAGATGGCGACAGGTGGCAGAGCCGCGGAGGATCTGCAGCGGGGCCTTCTGCAGATGCCGCTCCCCGCGCAGCCTATGGCCCAGGCTGAGGAAGCCCAGGGCACAGGAGAGAAGATGGGCTGGGCGCAGGTAGTAAAGAACCTGGCGGAGAAGAAGCACGACTTCCGCGAGCAGTGGCGGGCAGAAGAGAGGGGCAGAGGTGCAGGCGGCAGGCTGGGCAGCCCCGCGGGCCTGGCCGCTCCGAACCCCGGCAACTTCCCACCTGCCGGCCGCGGGGACCCAAGGGGCTGCGGTAGAGACCCTGCGGGCTACGCGGCAGAAGTTTGCAGGATGAAAGGAGCTGGAGACGCGAATCAGAGGAAGATGGCCGAGGTGGCGGTGGCGGCGGCGGCCATGGCGTCCCCTGCCAGGCCTGGTGCGACCAAAGACGCCACTGCGGAGAGACTGCTGCAGGATGAGCCTCCAGCTGCCTGTCCTGGTAAGGGCCGCTTCCTTGTGCGCATCTGTTTCCAGGGAGAAGAGAGTGCCTGTCCGACCCGGGATTTCGTGGTGGGTGCTCTCATCATGCGCTCCATCGGCATGGACCCCGGGGATATCTATGCTGTCATCCAGATCCCTGGCAGCCGCGAGTTCCACGTGAGCTTCAGATCTGAAGACAAGCTTGCCCTGTTTCTCCGCATCTATGAGGAAAAGCGGGAGCTGGACGACTGCTGGGAGAACTTTGTGGTGTTGGGGCAGAGCAAGTCCGGCTTGAAGACCCTCTTCATCCTGTTCCGGAATGAGACTGTGGATGTGGGGGATATCGTGACCTGGCTCAAGCGCCACTGCGATGTGCTGGCCTTGCCAATGAAAGTGACTGACAGGTTTGGGATCTGGACTGGGGAGTACAAGTGCGAGATCGAGCTGCGCCAGGGGGAGGGCGGACTGAGGCACCTGCCTGGCTCCTTCTTCTTGGGAACAGAGAGGGGCTACAGTTGGTACAAGGGGCAGCCCAAGACCTGCTTCAAATGTGGTTCCCGAACCCACATGAGCAGCACCTGCACGCAGGACAGGTGTTACAGGTGTGGGGAGGAGGGGCACAAGAGCCCTTACTGCAGGAAGGTCATCATGTGCAACCTCTGTGGCAAGGGAGGACACATGTTTGCCCAGTGTCCCAAAGCAGCTCACAATTCCATGCGCTTCTGCCTGCCAGGTTGAACACACAGCCAGCTTACCCTTAAGTGCCAAAACATTTTTTTTTCTTTAAGACCATTTTTCTGTTTTTTGGAAGGAGATATTTCTAAAACTTAACAGAGATATTCTCTCTATGCCTTTTTAAAACCACGTGTGCTCCTTGTCAGCCTATTTAAAAAGGACTATTCAGAACTGTAGTGTGCAGATATGTTGCCTGACACCTCCGCATTTTTTTCCCATTTTGCATTAGTTTTGGTACTTTCATCCACACCCTGTCCCCCTCTGTAATTTTTACTACCTCCGGCTTCATCCATGTCTCATTAGAATATTTTTGCCCTTTGAGCTGCCTGGCTCAGTTTTATGCCTCAGCCCTGTGTACAGGGCTCAATGCAGGATAGGCATTCAACCAAGTGTTTATTGAATCGAAAATGTCGTCGACTAGCTCTGTCTAGAGTGCCTACCTTGTGCAGCTCTCCGCTGGGATCTTTTCATTTGCTGCTTCTATGTGATATGAAAATTTGTGAAAACCGTGTTGCTGGAAGTGTGTAATCCGAATAAGCTCTGAAAGGTGGCCAAGGGCCTCTCATAGCATTTAAACCTATCTCCTTTGTGACAGTTCCTTTTGACTCAGAAGCCATATTTCTGTAGGAGTGTGGAGCCTAGGCAGTTCTTCTGGGAAACACCCAAGAGATGGTGTTTGTTGGATTTTCTTTGGGGGAGGTTGTTTTTGTTTTGTGTATTGATTTGAGTCAGGGTCTCACTGTGTAGTCCTGAATGGATTGGAATTGCCTGCATTCCTGGACCAGGCTGGCTTCAAACTTACAGTGATCCTCTCAATTCTGCCTCCTTGAAGGATTTTTTAAATTAACCCCTTGATTTTCCAGCAGATGAAATGAATCCGAAGTTAAATGACTGGGTCAAAGTAAACAGTGGTGCGGTGCCTCAGACTGTCCACAGTAGAATCCACTGCCCCCTTGCCTGATACTTATCCCACTACCTCTCACACTTCACAGCAGTCTCCTTGACAATGGTGGGCCTGGGAAATCTCTCTCCAGGGGGATATTCCCAGCATGAAGCTGAGACACCATCCCCTGAAAGAGCAGAAAGGAAGCTTGTCTTGCCACTTCATAGTAAGGGACCTAGGGAAAGGACCAGTGAACACACTGCAGGCTGCATGCATGCATCAGTCCTTGGAGTGAGTACCACGTCTTAAATGTTCCACTGTCAATGTCAGCAGTGAGAAATGGTTGCCCTCAGGAAAGAAACTTGACAGATTTTTACATTTGCACCTCTGCCTCATCTACTAGGAACCCCAGGGAATTTAGAGAGAGCTGATTTGAAACCTTTGACCTCTGATGCTCAGGAGAAAGGTGGTTTTAACCCAGAAGCATGAGTGAGCTGTAAACTGGAAAATGTTCTTGGGGAAACAGGCCAAGGGATAGGGCCTGGGTCAACTAAGTGTTACCAAGTTAAAGTGAAAGACAGTAAACTGCTTTTTTTCAGTTTTTGTCTTCTCTTTGCAGTTTTGCTGTTTTCTTGTGGCTTAGAATGTAAGAACAGTTGTTCAGATTTGTTCTCAATAAATATTTATCTTTTTTGCCCACAAAAAAATGTTGAGTTGTGTGGATTTATAAGGTAGTCATACACATGACATTGTAAATACACAGCAGTTTCTGCAAGTGTGGAGTTCTGTAATAGTGCTGGAAAATGATGTCATTTTTGGAGAGTTACAACTAAGATTGCCTGTGGATATAAGGATAGATATAGAGAACACTATTTGAAATGACATGCCTTCAAAGATGTTTCCCAAAAAGGACTGCCTCTGGGTTCAATATTTCTGAGCCTAATGCATCAGGCTATGTTAACACACTGGGAATAATTTTTCCTCATTTAAATTATATATGCCTCTTTAATCAAAAAAACTTGAAGTATCAATTCATGTCTGTGGGAAACAAGGATATCATACCCTAGGATATGCTAATTCCTGACAAGTTTTTACATTTGAAGTTGGTGGTACAATCATTAAGTCTCCCATGATGTTTTTTACTTGTGTTAGTTGTGATTTTGATATGAACAGAGCATGATGATGATGAGTAAAATAATAGCTGTATTAGCGGTTCAGAGGACTGACTCTAAGAACAAATCAATGTAAAATTTAGTTTAAAAGACAAATTATCAAGAAGAACAATGATAGATTGTAATATAATGGAATTTTGATGTTTTATTTAGAACAGACTCCTCAGCATTGTTCGTTTTTGTATATGTTGTGATTAAAACAGCAACAACAACAGTAACACTTGATTTATGCTTAGGTTTTATTTAAGCATTCCGAAATCAAATGTTGAAACTGAACGAGTGCAAGCACCAATTCATAGACATAGAAAGTTGTTCAGTAGGTGCTTACATTAGGGAATATCTGTGTGTTTTTTGACAAATATCTGTTTTGGTATATTTTGCTTATTTGCTTATTTGCTTCTAATAAGTAAAGCCTAGTAGAAGAGTCCTTCAGCAATCTCGCTGTTGAAAAGATGATTTCCTAGATTCTAATTCCAGAATATATATATGCCTGAAAAGTCAGGCATACTAACATCATCATCCAATCAAAGAACATGAGGCATATGTCATGTGAGTAATATCATGGAGTTTTCCTGGCTAGCTTGTTTAACATGTTTGGCAAATTCTCCCCTTGTGTGAAAAACAATGTCATTCTAACATTGCTAAAACTCTTGAGCATGCAACTGATATTTGATGGAATTTTTAGCACCATTGTATCAGCTGAGTGTACATACAAAATTGTTTCATTATGAAGCAAACCAGTGTACTACTGCATGCTGAAGAAGGGTCATTAAACAAATATTGTCAGAGTGACATATACTATTTTATGTGCTGATGAAGAGGGAAAGGCAGAATTTAGCATGTGTGCTAGCTTTGAGTGTCTGTCCATGTTCTAATTGATGGTCCCACAGAAAAGAAAACACAGGGGCTTTCCCGGAACTCAGATGCCACACAAAAGAGAGTACCTATATATCTAAGGACAGAATATTCATGATGATGTTTCAAGCAGAATTCTGCTAGGGGAAATGCAAAGGATTTTGAATATTTTTAAAATAGCTATATTTGTATATGAATAATGATCAAAGTATTTTGTGAGTATTTATTGAACTTTGAATCCAAAAGGAATGCTATATGCATGCAGATATATGTGGAACCACACATGAATGCACATATGGAAAGGAGAAATTTTAAAAAGTATAGAAGGATTATGAATATTACACTTTAATATAAAAACCTCAAATATTACATAATCATTAGGACACAGTAAGTTAGCATATCCAAACTGCCTGTGTTCAGAGTATTTCGGTCATTATTATACATACATACACATACATGTATATCTAAAATATATTTATTGGAGGGTAAAATTCAGGAATCTATAGTTGCAGTCAGGAAATGACATGACATATCAAAAACTGTCAGCAGGAAGCTGCAGTCCTCAGGACAGAATCACAATCAGGCAGGAGCAGGCAGAAAGAGAGGGTGGAATGTATGTAGCCAGAAACCTAACCCAAATAATGGATGTAGGATTGTCTCCTAGTTGGAAGGGGCTGGTATTTTTGTTTTGTTTTGTTTCATTCATTTTGTTTGTTTGTTTGTTTTGATAATTGGAGTCATAGCACAGAGTAAATTGACCTTTTTTTTCCTGCACACATTCAATTCCACTGCTTCAGTGGCACCACATGTACATTTATGTGGGAAGGAGAAATGAAACAGCATCTCTGATAGAGATCTCCAAGGTTACCACAGGATTTGCCTGCTTTGATGGAACTAAGATCATTGTCCTTATTGGTTCTTATTCCGGCCTCAATTTGAATGCACACAATCCTTCAATCAGAAGCAAGGAGTGCAAATAAAAGTGTCTAAGGTACTGCTTCTTACCAGTCAGGCTCTTGCTATACTCCAAAACAGACTTGGTCCTGAGTATAACCAAAGACTGACTCTATATTGGCCCAGAAAAGGCAGACTGCTCCTGACATCTACAGGAGACACAGCCCATTCAGTTTAGCAAAGTCAGGATTGTTTGACTTGAAGGACGACAGCTCTGAGGCTCCTGATCCTGTCACCTGTGCAGCAAGTGGGATCCTGCTTCTGAACATACAGCTTCTTTTTAAAGATGTGACATCCCAGTCTCAGTCTAAAAGTGTTGCACTATAAGCAAGGAAGTTAATCCAATTCAGGATTTACTACCTGACACAGGAAAAGAGACTCCTACTCTTTTCTATCCTAGGGGGATGCACTGTGAGAATAGCTATGGTACTGCCACTTTTAACCAGGTACCTAGAGTTGCTGTAAGTATCAAGCAATAACTGTTCCACACATCACCCTTTCTGTCACTAGATTCTCTGGATAGACAATAAAGAATTTTACTTGAAATGAAATTTACTTGTTATAATCCTTTTGCCATTTAGGGTCTCAGGGGATCAACTTTCTATTATGGGTGGGCATTGTTAATTTCTTTTGACATATAGGAACTCTTGGACATGATTTTTTTCCTAGTCAGCCCATTCCTCTCTATGACGTCAGGCGAGGCATGAACTTTGTTGGAAATCAGTTATTTATTTTTAGTGACAGTGAGGTATTGCATTCTTCCCATGAGAGTAGTAAGAACCAAGATTTCTTTCATCTTGTATCTGGTATTTTCATATGTTTAGTATCTTTGAACACCTTATCTTGTGTCTGAAAACTCACATTGTGAATTTCTATGAGGAATAGGAAATTCGAGACTGGAAAATTTTGTCACTTTGGAATGATCCCTCTGCTCTGAATCTGTTATAATCTTTCTGGAGCCTTTTAAACATAGATACTTGAGGCTTGAGTTCAGCATCATTAAAAAACCATTTCATATCATAACATAGTTTCCCAAAGCCTCTAAGTGTCTATAGAAAGAGACCCCTGCATGTCATTGTGTTAATTTCCTATTAATACGAAAAGAAATATCTGAGACGAGGGTCAAGTGATAACCAAACATATCAGCTTATCACTATGTCTTCAGGACTCACTTTATTTCAACTTGACTTCAGTTGAAAAAGGCAAATAATGGATATAGTTCTCTCACAATTGTAGTCTCATGGTCTTGGGCCTTTTATAAGTGTAGGGCATTTATTCACCCCATGGAATTAATCGTAATCCTTGCATGTAATTAATTACCTTTATTAAATATAGGCCACTATGGCAAAAGTAGAAAACATTAGAGGTCTATTCAACATGTGCTGTTTTATGTCACATTGTTCATGAGCATGAGACACTTTGTTCTTGCTGGAGTTATATGCAGAGTAGTTTTTCCATTCCTATCCCAAGTTGTCATAATCAGTGAAGCTTCTAATGAGATACCATGTGGATATCTGTTCGATGATGACTTAAGTATGTAGGATCTTCTGTAATAGCTTATCACCATCATATTGGGAGACATAGCCCTGGTTTGAAAATAGTTTGTGAATCACCAGTGGGGGACTATCAGAGCTCCCTTGACCAGCAAGTTAACCAAATAACTCCTTACAGTCATCTGAGAAAAAAACTCTGATTCCCCTTCATGGTCTAAGATGTGCACTTTTCACAATCTCTCCAAGATAAACGTTGAGCCATATCAATTACTTTTGTATATGTATAAATGTTTTTGTATGTGTATGTAAAAGTGCCTCCTTCTGACACACATTTAGAGGTATAAATATATATGTATGTATAAAAATAAATATGTATACAGGTGTATGAACATTTATGCAGCTGAGCATTTCTCACATATATTTCCACTCTTCTTTCTTTCTCCTCCTGCATTACCATGTCTGCTCCTGGAAATTCCAAAAGAAATATTACTTCTTAGTGAATTTATTTTTTTCATACGTACACAAATATAGTCATAACTAAATGATGCATCGCACAGTATGTGGTGAGGATAAACAAACATTTTTATCTTTGTCCTTCTGGAATTGAAAGGCCTCACAGTGTCGTTTGACAAGCCTGCTTCTATCTATCTTAGCATCCATCCATTCTCCTTTGCTTTTCAGCTATGTGTGGCAAGTCCAGAGAATTTCGAATACACGCTGGCATAGCGATATGTGTTTTCAGGCTGCTCCCCTTGTTTGGTTGTTTCTTTACTTTGGAATATAATTTTGGTTGGTGTTCATATTTTCTAAACATTGAGCATTGAAATGTGATATCCTTCCTGGAAGACACTTTTTCCACAGTAGGAATCCTATCCCTTAGGAACATGAACTGTGTCTTAGCATTGGGTACGATACTTTCTGAGTCCAGAAAAATGTTGAATTGTGTGGATTTATCAGCTGGCCGTAGACTTGACATTGTAAGCACATAACAGTTTCTGCAGGTGTGGAATTTTGTAAAAGCGCTGTGAAATTATTTCAATTTTGGAGAGTTACAACTAAAGTTGATTGTGGCTATAAGGATAGATATATAGAAAACAGTTAGAAAAGACATGCCTTCAGAGATGTTGCCAAAGAAAAACTTCCTCTGAGTCCACTATTTCCTAGCCTTATATATCAGTCGAGGTTAATATATTGGAAATTATTTTTCCTCATTTAAATGATACATGTTTCTATTAATCAAAAAAGATTGAAATATTCAGTCATGTCTGTGAGAAACAAGGATATAATACCCTAGGATATGCTAAGTCCTGATAAGTTTTTTCATTTGAAGGTAGTGGTACAATCATTAAGTCTGCCTTTAGGTTTTTCCCTTTTGTTAGCTGTGATTTTGAGATGATCAGCACATGATGATGATGATTAAAATAATAGCTATATTAATGGCTCAGGGGACTGTTTCTAAGAACATAACAATGTAAAAAATTAGTTATCAAAACATGATTATCAAGAAGAATGATGACAGAATGTAATTTAATGGACTTTTGAGGTTTCATTTACAGGAGACTCCTCAGCATTGTTCACATTCACTATGTGTTGTGTTAAAAAAAATAGCAAAGGCACTTGATATGTGATTAAGCTTTATTTAAGCATTCCGAAGTCAAGTGATGAAGCTGAGCAAGTGTAAGCACCGATTTATAGACATGGAAAGACATCAAGGAGTTGCTTAGGCAACATCTGTGTGATCTCTGTAAAATAACTCTTATGATTATATTTTGCTTATTTGCTTCTAATAAGCAAAGCCTAGTAGAAGGCTCCCTCAGCAAACTGGCTGCTTGGAAATACAATTACCTGGGTTCTAATTCCAGAATACATATATGAAAAATCTGACTTACAGGCATCACCATCCAGTCACAGAACATGAGGCACATGCAGTGTGAGTAATCTCATGGAGTTTTCCTGGCCAGCTTGGTTAACATATTTGGCAATTTCTCTACTTGTATGAAACACTATGTCAATCTGACTATGCTGATACACCTGTGCATGGATCTAATATTGGATGGATCTTTTAGCACCCTTGTATCAGCTGAGTTTGTATACATAAATGTTTCAATATGAAGCAAACCAATGTTCTACTACATGCTGAAGAAGGATCATTAAACATATAATGTCAGATTGGCCTATAATACTTAATGAGCTAATGAAGAGGGCAAGTAAGAATTTCACATGTTTGTTAGCCCTGAGAGTCTGTCGATGTTCTAATCGATGGCCCCACAGAAAAGGCAAAACAGGGGCTTTCCCTAAACTCAGTTGTCACGCAATAGAGAGTAAATGTATGAAGTAAGGACAGAGTAGTGATGATGAATAAAGCAGAATTCTACTAGGGGAAATGCAGTGAATTTTTGAATTTTTTTAAAATTCTAAATTTGTATATGAGTGCTGAGTATAGTGTTTTGTAAGTATTTATGAAACTTGAATCGATATGTCTGTGGATATATGTGGAATCACATATAAAAGCATACATACAAAGGAGAAAATTTAAAAAAATATACAAGTGTTATTAATATTACACTATAATACAAAAACCTCAAAATGTTACATAATTATTATAGCACAGTAAGATACCATATCCAAACTGCCTATGTTCAGTATATAGATAAATGTACCTTTACTATTTACAAAAGTAGCATCTTATATTGGTCATTATTGTATGTGTGTGTGTGTGTGTGTGTGTGTGTGTGTGTGTGTGTGTGTGTGTGTGTGTGAAATATACTTATTGGTGTGATATAATTAAATAATCTATCATTGCAGTAGAAGAAAGACAGGACATATCAGAAACTGTCAACAGGAGGCTGCAATTAGAGGTCAGAATCAAAATCAGCCAGCAGCAGGCAGAAAGGGAGGGTTACATGTATGTAGCCAGGAATGTGGCCCAAGAAACACATATGATTAACTCCTAGTTGGCATGGACTGTTTGTTGTTTTGTTTAGTTCTCGATTCCTTTTCTTTTTTGGATAATTGGAGTCGGAACACAGAGTCAATTGCATTTTTTCCTATGGCGCACTTTAAATTTGCTGCTTCAGTGGCAATACATATACATTTAGGTGGGAGGGAGAAATGAAACAGCATATCTGATGGAAATCTCCAAGGTTACCACAGGATTTGCCCTCTTTGCTGGAACTGAGATCATTGTCTTTCTTGGTTCTTATTCTGGGCTCAATTTGAATGCACACAGTCCTTCAATCAGAGGCAAGGAGTGCTAATGAAAGTGTCTGGTGATGGGATGGCCAAACACCCTAATTGTCGTGATAGAAACCCCATCCAACGACTGAGTGATCTGGATGCAGAGATTCACAGCTAGGCCCCGGGTGGAGCTCTGGGAGTCCAATTAGCGAGAAAGAGGAGTGTTTATATGAGCGAGAATTGTTGAGACCAAGGTTGGATAAAGCACAGGGACAAATAGCCAAACAAATGGAAACACATGAACTATGAACCAATGGCTAAGGGGTCCCCAACTGGATCAGGCCCTCTGAATGGGTGAGACAGTTGATTGGCTTGATCTGTTTGGGAGACATCCAGGCAATGGGACCCGGTCCTGTGCTCATTGCATGAGTTGGCTGTTTGAAAACTGGGACCTATGCAGGATCACTTGGCTGGGCCTGGGAGGAGGAGACTGGACCTGCCTGGACTGAGTCTACCAGGTTGATCTCAGTCCTCAGGGGAGGCTTTGCCCTGGAGGAGGTGGGAATGGGGGTGGGCTGAGGGGAACATGAAAGGGGCGGGAGGGGGGAGAACAAGGGAATCTGTGGCTGATATGTAGAACTGAATTGTATTGCAAAATAAATTAAAAAAAAGAATAAAAAAAAAAGAAAAAAAAGAAAAAAAAAAGAAAGAAAGTGTCAGAGGTGCCGCTTCTTACCAGTCAGGCTCAGACTATAATTCAGGACACAGTTGGTCCTGGGTATAACCAAATGTGGACTCTACCTTGGCACAGAAAAGGCTGACTGCTCCTGACATCTACAGAAGACAGAGCCCATGCAGTTTAGCAAGGTCAGGATTGTTTGATTCCCAGGAGCACAGCTCTGAGTCCCCTGATCCTGTCACCTGTGCAGCAAGTGGGATCCTGCTTCTGAAGCTGCAGCTTCTCTTTAAAGATGTGACGTCCCAGTCTCAGTCTAAAATGCTGCATTAAAAACAAGGGAGATAATCCAATTCAGGCTTTACAAACTGGGACAGAAACCGAGAGTCCTGTTCTTTCCTATCCTAGGGAGATCCACTGTGGGAATAGCTATGGTATTGTCACTTTTATCCAGTTACCTAGAGTCACTGAAGGTATCAAGCAGAAACTGTTTCCAACACTAGCCTGTCTGTCACTAAAGTCTCTGGGTAGACAAAAAAAGAATTTTACTTGGAATGAAATTTACTTGTAATAATCCTTTTGCCATTTAGAGTCTCCAAGGTACAACTTTCTATTATTGGTGGGCATTGTCAATTCCTTTTGACAAATAGAAAATCTTGGACCTGTTTTTTTTTTTCTGGTCATCCAATTCCTCTCTATGTTGTCAGGTGAAGCATGAACTTTGTTGGAAATCAGTTATTTATTTCTAGTGACAGTAAGATATTACATGCTTCCCATTGAGTGTGATTAAGAGCCAAGATTTCTTTCTTCTTATTTCTGGTATTCTCATATGGTTAGAACCTGTGAAAGGCTTATCTTGTGTCTGATTACTCACATTCTGAATTTCTATGATGGATAGCAAAGCTGAGACTGGAAAACTTTGTCATTATGGAATGATCCCACCGCTCCAAATCTGTTAGAATATTTTTGGTACACTTTCAACATAGATACAGGAGGCTTTAGTTAACCCATATGAAAAAGGCATTAAACATCATAAAATAGTTACCCAAAGCCTCTAAGTGTCTATAGAAAGAGTCCCCTGCATATTGTTGTGTTAATTCCAAATTAATATGAGATGAAATTTCTATGATGAGTGTCTAGTGATAACCAGATCTATCAGTATATCACTATGTCTTCAGAACTCACTTTATTTCAACTTGACTCCAGCAGTATGAGAGAAATAATTTTTGTAGTTCTTGACAATTCTAGTCTCATGAACTTAGTCCTTTTAGGAGTATAAGTCAATTATTTACCTCATGGAATGAATCATAATACTTGCAAGTAATTGATTATTCCTATTATAAATAGGCCACTATGGCAAAAGTAGGAAAAAGTAGAAGACTCTACATTTGCATTTTTTTTGGAATGTAGATCATGAGCATGAGACATTTTATTCTTGCTGGAGTTATATGCAGAGTAGTTTTTTGTTTGTTTGTTTTGGTTTTGGTTTTTAGAGACAGGGTTTCTCTGTGTAGCTTTGAACCTTCTCTGAAACTC